AAATGCTGCATAGATTAAAGCCAAAATTTTCATTGTAAACATTTTTTTGTTAAACATGAAAACTATTTTCAACAAAAACAAATACAATTTTTCCCTTACCGACATGTGTATATAATAGAAATATTTTAAATTTTCAAACAAGAAATAGCTGGTACAAAAGGTTTGGACGTAATTGTTTTGTAAATATCGATCAATATGTACATTGTTTTTGACTATCAATCCTCTGCTATCAACTGTAATTGATGTAATATTGTTGAAAAGCGTCATCTGCTTTTCAAGAGGTGAAACAATTTAAACATGTACTCATTGCCAGAATACAGTGGCCATCAATTTGTAACAGGCACTCTTGAATCAAGGGTCACACATACTCGTGTTTATTTCAGCATTTGTGAAATTGATTATTTCACATCGAAAAGTGGGCAGAGAATATGCGTTTTTCTCCATTTTCAATTAAACCGAACTCATCGAGTTCAACCTAAGGCTTTGTCAATTCATTCGGCTTAAAAAAATTACCATTAAATCCTAATATCAGAGAGAATAAATTCTTTGTATGTAATTCAATTTCATATCTCGGACAAAGTGAAAATGGACAAAAGAGCTTTTTCTTCGGGTCAAAATACAATTGAAACATTTTTTCCTTTTCTTTCTCTTCCAAAAACGCAGGCAAACTAAAAGCCTTAAAAATAAACAGTAACCAATTACTCGTAGTTAACTACTCGTAATTGTTACAAATGTTGATCAATTTTCGCACCAAAAAATCAATAATAATTCATTAAGCTTCTTCAAAGTACTTAATAGTAATAATATTTTATCCTTTTTGGTATTAGAACGTCCAAATGGGTGAAAATCGGATGTGAAGGTTCATTAACGAAATTCTCTGCAACGACTGTTGCTGCATTAATAATAATTTTTCATTTTTCTCAAAAAACATACGGTATAAGCGTTTCGATAATTTCTAATTTTTGAAAAATCTATCAAACGTTCAATTTTGCATTTGATTTAATGGGTGTTGTAGTTTGGCTTATTCGCTTATTCGAACAATATGTGCATATTTGAGAAAGAGAGTGTGTATAACAGTAGACTTAATAAATTGCCGTGTGTGCTGTGTACTTATCATTAGATTTAACCTGGTTACTGGAAATATTTCCCATTTTCATATTCTTCAGTGGACGTTCGATGAATGTGCGCATTTCTGCATAGTTCATTCAAATTATGCGTGTTCTATTGGCGGCGGCCACGGCAACGATGGCACATATGAACATTTTCAGAGAGCAATATACACAATCGACAATGATTTATCCTTTTGATACTGAGTTCATCTTTTCCATTGTCTCACATGCACGCCCTGCCTCTGTCTCTTTCTCTGTAGCAACTGTGATATTAATGTTTTTGTGTAAACATCTAATAATTCGTGGTTAGCAATGGAATTTAGAGTGCAAAACCAAAGCATCTACGCGAACAATTTTCCTTCGCTCAAGAGACCGGATGAATGCGATTTTTTTTGTTTTCATTTTAACTTTAACACTAGCTGCTCATGCAAAATGAATAGCATTTAATACTAGACACAGACACACACATTCAACCAAATTTGGTGTTGGTTTTATTTTACATTTTACGGGTCTGGCTTTGTTTGGCTTATAGGTTTTTGTGTTGGTATGCACGGTAGAGCAAGAGAGGTATGTAATGCGCGCGGAAAACGTGAGTACATAAGCGCTTCACCATTATTGTCGTAACGCATTTTGTAATTCGCAATTTGCACGTTAAATACTGAGCGCACACGAAGCCGCGTTCTCTCAATCTTCCATACACACACACACACACACACACACACACACGCACGCACATACACGAATAGCAACAAAGCACGAAATGCAAATAAAATCCAACGAAAGGAAAATAGTAACAATTAGAAAGCGAACCATAGCATAAGCAACAATGAGTTAGTGACTACCACCACCGAACAAATGTTCCTCCGGCGTAAACCGATAGAAAACGCTCATGAATATTCATGATGTTTTTGGCATCCGAACGAGGCTCATCCAAATGAAAATCTACCCATGGGAGCCATTTTTGATGCAGAAACCACCACCCATCCCATGCCACCAATTGCTTGGGTGTTTTGCAAGTGGCCATGAGATTCACCTTTCAAATCAGCTTTGCTTGTATATATATAAATATTTCTCATCGCCATGAGCTGCACGAAATTTCTTACACGAACCCACACACATTGCTTGAGTGTTAAGCTGCAGCACTTGTCTCATGACTTGGCTCTCGACTTTACAAAGTCCGATAGAGAATTGAAAAATCTTTGCATCTGACAATAAGTCTTTTTTATTACTGCACGAATTTTCCATGTACAATACGCGCCCAATGCAAACGATGAGGAAAAGTTTTGAGCTTTGTTTCACCATTACTTCGATTTTGATTTAAGAAGCTTATTGGGCTTTACGAATAGTGGAATGAGAATCAGTGTGTGTTTACTGGTCGATTTTGTTGTTAGTTTGTTGCCACCGCTGCTGACGCTCTTAGATTATAAATTTCATTACAAGCTTTCGTTCCTTTTTTCCATTCTCTTTCTTTGCTCAAGTAAATTACACGACAACTGGGAAAATCCATAGGCAAATAACATAAACAAAATCAAAATTAAGCACAAAATGCCATTTGATGATCGCAAACATCTTTTGCGTATTTCTTGTAGTCGATGTTCGAAATTTTTCGCTTGCATTTCCCTGGGTTATGGTTGGTAACTTCTCATTGTATTTTCTTCTATGGAAATATATTTTTTTGTTTGTTTCGCTAAAATCTTGACTAACTTTTAGCTTTGTGCTTGTATATTGTTTTTCTATGTTCGATGGATGTTTAGCAGCGTTTAAATTATTGTACACGCACTTATTTTTCTTCCACTTTGGTTTCTTGAAAATTACCACTTCACCAAATCTCCTTCTCCTGCTTCGTACCAGAGTATAACCGAAACGAAAAAAAAGAAAGTGAAAAAATGGTTTCGTGTACATCATTCTTTTTTTTTGTTTGGTTTTGTTTAAAGAAAAGTTTTGACACGAGAAAAGTGTTGTTTATCATCATTTAGTAGGTTCCATATACTTTATAGCATTGTGTGTGTGTTCTGTCATTTTCGCGCGTTCTGTACACACACACAATTTTCTATTTATATTTTGAAGTTGAGATTCATGTTTCGACTCGCTTGTTTGCTATTCCATTTGGCGTCTTTGTCCTTTTGCATGTTGTTGTTTTTTTATCTTATGTGTATGCGCGTACTAAAGAGCGAATGTGGTATGTTTTTTTGTTCGTCGATATGGCTCGTTGGATAAACTTATTTTTTAAGCTGCTTCCGGACTACCAAGTGGTCGTCTGTTCCACAAATGCACACATACACAAAGACACCAAAAAGTACCGAACAACAACCAACAAATATATCTATGTTTATTCTTGACAAACAAGTAAAACTACCAGAAAGAAATCCCTTTCTATCTGTGCAGTTCTGTCTTCCTTATTTTCGGTGTTAAAATCCAATATGCACAGAAGCATTGAGAGAATCTTCCGATTGGCGAACGATGTGAATGAAATGTTGAGAAAAGCTTTAACATTTTTCGGTGGTTTACAATTACCGAAGACAGTTTATTGGAGCCAAAAGTAAAATACGATCGGAAAAAGACCAAAGACAAACAAACACACAAAATCTATGTATTTATTGGAATATTTGTCCTTTTTGTATGGTTGTATGTGCAATGAATGACGCGAAAGGCATCGTAGCAGAAACAGTAACGCATGTTAAATCGACCGAAAACAGTATTTTGCTCGATCTTTCTTTATGTGTATGTGTGTTGTGTGCCGTTTGTTTGGCATGAAACTGTTTTGCGCAGTTGTTATTGTTATCCTGTTGATGTTCGTTGTTGCCTGCTTCTGTTGTTTTTATTGTTGTTCCGTTAACGAAGTTTTTTTGTATGCCATTGTTTTTGGATAAATGTAACTGTGCATATGTGTGTCTATATATTGTCGCCTGTTGTTTCGCACGGTTGTTCATTTAAGTCGTTTCGCAAAACTTCTCATGCATAGCACTGGCCATTTATCTTGAATCGGCAAAAGTTTTTGTATCATTTTTGGCAGATTGTGCTAATCTTAATCGATATTCTTGCCCTTGATTTCTGCCCATTTTCATTATGCCATATTTTTTTTCTTTCTGTTCGTTCTTGTCCTTCTTCATTTTCTTCATCCATTTTGTGGTGGAGTATGTATACAGGCGAGAGTGGATATTGTTTTTACCACATGATGACCAAATACCGAAACGACATTCTTGACACGACACAAAAGAGTAAAAAATGCCGCGAAGATGGAACAAGAAGTCGAAAATCACTGAAACAAAACCAATAAAAACTCTTTCGATATTTTTTACGATAAGTTTTCCGCATGTCAATATGCCCCACCAAATTAGCATTAACAAATGGAACATGGATAAGAAATGGGTACTACATCGAGAGACGAAAAACAAAAAACGGGTGGCAAAAATTGCAATTTATTTGCTTTCACAAACATTTATTATTTGAGCAGTGACAGAACAAAAAAAAATCCAGGGAATCGTATATATTCAAGGATTAGAAACTGGGTTAAACCAATAAGAGAAAAACGGAGAAGTTCTTTTAGCATTTACATTTCATTAGCGGAACACAATTTTTATGGAAAATATCAACTTTGGTGTGTGATAAATTTGGACTGTTGATTTCAATTACTGAATATAATACGTGTATTTTTTTCACTTCGGCCGTCGTATTCGTATGTATGCCATATGCAATGAACAATGTATGTCAAACTTCATTGATACATGTATGGTTGAAAAATGTAATTGTGTTAGTCATGCATACTTTTACGACAATCATATATCAAATGCATTTTAATTAAAAAAGCAAAGTGTGTGCACAATTTTTTTTTTTATTCATTCTAACCGATATGTAATTTTTTTTTCTCTCCTCTATTTATTCTCTCTACAGCGATGATAGTCGTGCAAACAAGTGCGGCTCAACAGCAAAAATTTAAAGTAACGCCACATGATTTACAAGTGCTGGAAGGTTCGGAAGCGGTTCTTCGTTGTGAAGTATCAAATTTAGCTGGACAGGTGCAATGGACAAAGGACGGTTTTGCATTAGGTAAGTAGTAGGCACCCTTTCATTTTCATATCGTCAAAATATTGCATCATATTATTCGTTTGGCGGACATTTTTTTTTACTATTGCTGCTATCAAAATAGAGCTTTTATTTCCCGGAGGCGCTTGGCATAGTGCGCAATTTGTCAAAGTTGATCCCAAGCATTTATTGCACCAAAAGCATTAATAGTGTGTATTTTATCTGCTTTTTTTCCATCTCGATTTGAAGCTTTTTTATTCGTGAACCCAGGCATTTTTCATTCGCCGTTCTGTGTGGCGAAATAACCAATAGCATTTTTTTTGTGTATGTCGTAATTGTTAAAGTTGTTAATAAATTATTTTTCAACACAATACCCGGCCAATTTTTTTTCATTTCGATGCCGTTGGTGGTTGTCGATCTTTGTTGCGTGTTTATATAATTTCATTGATCGCTTAAAGCGCTTGAGCGGCTTAAATTCAATAGAATATTGCAATATCAAAGCACTGATAGACTATAACATTGACTATCACGTTGATAAATTGTAATGGATTTTGCAAATTGAACATGTGTTCATTCTTTCATTTTTTCCTCATCCACCCTTTTATCTCCATTGTGCTCATTCATTACAAAACAGTGGTTTATAGTCATAGGTCCACATGCCAATCTAAATCGGAAAAGATGGGTCACCAAACATCTGCCATTCCACAACAGTGTATACAGCTCGAATTTTATCAAAAAAAAAAAGAAGCTCTGAGTAAATTTCCATATTCTTTGTTCTCGTGTTTAAAGTTTTGCATAGAGAACGGTGCGAATTGGCATTCATTCTCATCGGGAGATTTTGTGCAAATGATTTTGCACAGAACTTGTGGTGTATTGAACGAGACCGCAAGTCCCTGATGCCAAACCATTTAATGAATTCCATTCATTTACGCTATCGAATCCAATTACCAATATAACGCGATTAAATGTTTTAATGAAAGCGCACAAAATATGCAAAACGCCAAATCAAAGCTTTTGTTTTATATCAAAAAATCTGTCAGCTCCAATGGTAGCAAGGAGCAAACGCAGCTGAGAAAAGCACGATTACCATCACAACTACCACCATTGTTGCTGTCACTCATCGATTGTAAAGATTCTTTTTTTTTGTTCCTCGAAAATTTGCACATTTATAGCTGACTTTCATATGGATCGATTTTGAAGCTCTATTATGCATGTCATGATGCGCGCGAGTGCCTTAGCAAATGATGAGAGAGAGACAAGCGATGAAAGAATTTCTTTCGAAACAATTTCAAACAGAGATGGACAGAGAAATATGCTCGTGAACATTATTGAATGGGAAATAGAAAATGCGAAACAAAATAATAACAGGAAGTTTTTAAGTGCGTGCTTATCTTTGCAATTGAAACTTCTATACATATGACTATATCAAGTATATTCGCGACCGCAAAACTCAAAACATGAATCGTGCTATTTCGTGAAAATTTATCATGATATCGCGGCAACAATGACTGCGGCATACTAATGGTGATGGCAATGGTGGCAAGAGGCTTCGAATTACCATTCTTAGTTTTAACTCTCTCGAGTGAGTGTTATTCATATTATTCTGTAGCACTCTTCTCTATCTTCCTCTCATACTATTATGTCTGTGTTTTGCGGTCGCTAATTGGCATTCCTTTTTCATGTTGCGTAGAAATTTGATTTAGCGGTTTGCATACCAAGTCAGAGATACAGAGGTATGAACAATCGATGCTCTTCTCTATCATATTTGAATCGAATAAATGATTTCTTGATTATTGTTTGCTTTTCATCTCTCCCTCTCTTTCCAAATTAATTCAAAAATAACACGAATAGTGACTATGCTAATTCCTCTTCTACCACATCTTTCTATTCATTGCTTTCTATTTTCAGTTTTGATAAATCATAGATGCATCATTTTTATCATGTTTTCAAATCGAATATAGTGCCTTGCACTTAAAAACCTTGATGCAAAAATAGTAATCATTGAATTGCGATGGAAATGTATCGAATAATTTGGGTAATTTCAAATGCAAATCATGTCCGAGAAACTAGTCGACTGTAAAACGATATCATTCCGTACCTCTATTTAGTAGAACAACAGTATTCCGTTTTATCTACAAAAAAAAAAGAACAAGGTCGACGCACAAATTTTCTGCGAAATTTGAATCGCCTCACGAAACTTTTTTTCCCCTCTATACACTTGGATTAATTTGTTTGTGTGAAACTGGCCATTTTGCATTGTTCCACTTGAAATCCATTTTCTTTCTTTCGATCCCTCTGTTTCAATGCAAAAAAAAGAGAGAATTGTTTTTGTTTACCTTTCACGTACATTTGAGCTAGTAAATCATCCCATTTTGTGTTGTGTCGTTTTGTTCACAAACAATAGAAGAATATAAAAATGTACACGATTAACCTCGGCAATTGAGGCTATACGATTCAGTCTGGCAATTGGGTCGCGAACAGTGATGCGACGACCGCTTAGCGCATTTTCGCTTTAAAAGACGGTTTTAATGCATTCATTCTTCGTTTCACATGATAATTCAGTTTTTATGTAGCCGACGAGTATTGAATAGTAAAATAGGTGAAGAAAATCCGATTTGCGTTTTCTGCACAAAAAGAGAAAAAAAAAGAAATAAAGAAAGAGAAACAACAATAACAACACGGGAAATTTACAAGTGACACACAAAAATAAAAAGGAACTGAAATTCCATCGAATGTTACTCAACGTCTTAAAATTTCTATGCGCTTTAGGATATAAAAGAAAGCGGCAAAATTAATTTAGATAATTTTGGGGAAAAGGGTATGCGTTTAATAAAATGATTGCGTCTTTTGTTCACACAAATGAACCGACCATCACAACCATCATCGTAAGCGACAGCATAACCAGCCAACAGACAGAATAAGCTGCAAACTGGAAAATCCAGAAACAAAGCGAATAAAAAAACAACAACCAATTCAAATGACTTTCTTAGCGGTGAGGCGCTTGATTTTTTTTTTCTGTTGCGCCACCGAGCATAAAAGCCAAAACGGATCATAAAAGACGGTTAACAATGGTAATGGATAATTTATTCGCTTCAGCTTCTTCATCCGATAATACTTGTACATTCATAACATGAACCATGCAAAACTCGTTTGTAAAGTTCTTTCGTGACGATGGTGTTGGTCGTCATCGTCTTGTATAATGTTATCCAACATGTATGACCGAGATATATTTCTATCTCTTGTGTCCCTTGATATGGCGGGCCAAACATCGATGTCTTTCAATCATCTAGTTACAGTGTGTTGATGCCCAGCAAATTTTCTACTCGTTATCAAAATGATGAAAGTTCCAAGATCGTGTGGAAAGAAATGAATTGAAGAAAAGTTAGAAGAAAAAAAAATATTCGCAGCTGTCTGTGCTCATTAAAAAGGAGCTAGTTCGAGTCGGAACATTGAACTAATTAAAATTTATTTTAAATTATGTTATTTTTTGAATTTTGTTTTAATATCTTTACATTTTACGCTGGTACTTTTTTTTGCTATGGTGTTGAGTGAAAATGACTTAGTTTGATTAAAGTCATCGTTTTCGACTGGACGTCTACGTCGTTGTTTGGAACTTGGCAATCTAATGGAAGAGAATATGTACAAAGAATGAAAAAAAGTTGAAATAACAAACCCATCTATTTAAATTGTTTTGAGTATGCAAAGCCGTGCGCACTTCTGAAGTGTGCAAGTGAATGCGTCTATGTCTAAGAGCATATAACCCCATTCTCTCTATCTCTAGTTCAGAGAAATGATGCAAACTGACTTAAGTTTTTAGATACGAAAAAAAGTACCACTTTATACGAAATTGCCTTTACATCAACAGCAATATGTGTTTTTTTTCATTGGTTTTTGTTGGTGATGTTGGTTGCCACAACCACACACTTTGGTTGCTGGCTAGTGAATGCCAGTGTGTAAGATTGATGTTGTAACACGCATGTGGTTATTGCCACCGTTATTATTATTATACGTGCCATACATTGCATATTACCTCTCAGACAGGCTTTCACACGACATGAATTCTCTCCTCTCTCTCTCTCTCTCACACACACACACCTAACTCATTCTCTCACTTGTTTTCTCTGTGGATTCTACCGCATTCCCCGTAGCCCATGTGTATTTCACGTTAATATTCATTTGAGTGCGCGCGCGAGTGCCAGAGAGTGAGATGCCTTTTCAGTTACGCACAAACATTACTTATTCATAAAAAATGAAAATTGTTTGATGGAAAAGTAACAACGATGACGACGACGACGACGTCGACGACGACGACGATGAAAGAGAAAAGAATGAAGATACAAGCAGAATACACAGAAATAAAGTAAAAAAGAAAACTTGCTCATCAAAGATGACGAGAGAGTGGGACATGAGCTCAAAAAAGAAGAAGTAGATTTTTTCGAATGAAAAAGTTCAACATCTTTAGTTAATATCAGACGTTTTGTTGGTTGGATGAGCTTTTCTAACAACATACTGGTGGCTTGACAATGAATTACAGTGGCGGTGGCGTTGATCTTAAAAATGTAGCAACGAAAAAGAAGACAGATTATTCGGTATCGTGTCAAACGATGATGACGACTGTATCGACAAAGAAGGTGTACAAAACATACACAAAATATTCGAGTATGTGTCATATGTTTGAACCTTACCAATTCATACCCACAGACACTCTTGACAGAGTTTGATAAGAATCGAAAAAAAATCACTTTTACGTCGCATCTATTCCGGCAAATGTTTCAATTTCATCTTCATCAACACTTTCAGTGCTTGTGCCTCGTTTTCGAATTTTATTCTCTCGACCAATCAAATTGCATTCACTTAAGCTAAAACATCTTTTAAACTTATCCCTGATAAATCGCATCCGTTCGAAATAGACGGCACCATTTTCAGATGGCGATTACTCTGGATTTTTGTTGTTTTTCGTGGATTAGTTGCTTCATACACGTAATGTGCTGATAAAACTGAAAGCCGCTATGTCATTATCGATG